AGAAATCTTCTGTAATCCCTCTAAGATAAGTTAATGAACAATCAATTAATTAAAAGGTCATAATAGCATGTTGAAAATCTCTTAGTCTTAATCTTTTAAAAATTGATAAAAACATTAAATTGAAGATGGTTCTCAAGTTACATAATGTTTTATCAAAGAAGTTATCCTCTTTAGGACATGAGATAGTAAAACAATCCAAATCGTTAAATGTTTTAGAATTTTTTAAACAATCCAAAACACTCTTCATATAAGATAAAAGTCTTAAATTCTCCTTATTTATGTTTTTTATTAAGGATTAATAAATTTTATATAGCTAAGTATTTGGTCAAGAGCTTCTACAAATGGTATATTGATGTTAAGTTTCTGGAACATTTCTAAAAAGCCAGAAAACTATTAGTTAAGTTTCTATTTTTAAAGTTTTTAGAGAAATAATGGTGGTGTTCTCTCTACCTCTTTCCCAAGGGGTTTATTCCTTTTCTTTGAGTCTTTTTTATGTTAATTATTTTATTAGAATAAAGATTGGGTTCTTCTAACATAATGTTTTCTCTATTTACCCCTTCTACTTTCTTCCCACTACTAAGTCTTATGCCTTTGCATTACTATTTCCCTTTTATTCTTTTGAATTCACTTTTGTGTTTCTTGGTAATGTTCCTTAGGGTCTACTACTTTAAGAATATGCTAAATACCATTATTATGTTTTTATGTTTCTAATCATTACAACTTGAGCATGCAACTAATTTTCTATTTGCAACACTAATTCTTCCAAATATAAATTTATTCTTTGACGGGATTATCAAAAGTGAATCAAAGAAGGAAATTTGGTCTAGGACTGAGAAAGGTTACTACTCTAAATGTTTCGATTATCTAGGATGTTTTATGGCATCCCACTGATTATTTCCTATATTTGGCTTATTAATTAAATAAAGTTTGATCACTTATTTCTAAATAGAAAATTCTTGTTCTTAAATAGAGTTTATTGAGTCACTTGTTAATTACATTCAATAACTCCATAGTTAAAATATATGAATCTCTCATTTGTCCATATGCTTTCTCATCACTTATAAGGGATCCTTGAATTTGTATATATATATATTAAAATATCTACTACTTATGAAATCAAAATAGTTAACATATCAATATCATGCACATTAAAAACCTTCCTAAAGTGAACTTTCTCTGAAGATCATTGAAAAGGTTTGTGTAATCAATCAATTAGTCAGGGCATGGTGTGAGCATTTTCTCAACGACCACTGAAATCTCTCCCACGACTCATAAATGGATTCATTACCTAATTGGGTGAAATCAGTTATGCCATTCATAAGTTTAGTTGTTTTTAATGTAAGGAAATACTTAGATAAAGATTTTAAGCAATATCATTCCAAGTGACAATAGATCATGGGGGCGAAGAGTTCAATCACATATTTTTATTTGTCTATTAAAAAAATAAGAATTGCTTAAGCATAACAATATCATTAGAGACACCATTATACTTATTTATGACACAAATATTCAAGAAATTATTATTGTGAAGGTTTAAATCTTCTATTTGTGACACCCAAACTATGAATTTTAAACCATTTGAAAGATTACATGTTCCAATTCAAAGTTATTAGCATTGATGGTTGATCTACTAATACTTTAATGTACCCTATCTATTAGTGGTTTATCAAAATCACTAAATAGTCTAGGTTGATCAATTTTCACTAGTTTATTTGCCAATTATTCTAGAATATTTTTGGACTTTTTGAGCTTTTTTTTTTAATGATTTTTCAATTTCAGGGTTAAATGAAACTACTTAACTTGGTTCAAATCTACACATAGAACACCTAGTGCCCACTAATGAACATACACTAACAATAAAAAATAGTTAATAATTACAACACATAACAAACCAAAAAGTAGTTGAAAAATAATACAACACATAAAATATGGTTAGTGTTGTGCTGCTAAACTTTTAGTGTTGCGGTGGTGTGGCGCAACAGAGTTAGTTCAATAGCATTACAACGCTCTGCCATAGATACACAATTTTAGAATCTAACTTTTTACAATTCACAAGTGCTCACAAAGATATCTACTTTGTAAAACAATAAAAATAGGAATCAAGCAACAAAGTTAAGCATAATAGAATTGAATTAAATCTTAAAACTTTTAGATTAATATCAACCTAATGTAAGAATTAAAATGTTGTTTTTCGGCCACGGTACCAAAACTTGATCCAAAATGCTAAGTATTAAATGATTCACACAAGTACACATGTCGATCAAATAATACAAGAATGTAAGTCCAATTTTTGATCTCACGAGAAACAAAGTCATTTCTTAGTTTAGACCAATTACTAGTCTAATTAATTTTTTTTTTAGTTTTAACCAATGATTGCAAAATTTAGGTATGGAAATGTAAAAAAGCTTATTATTTTTTGTTTTTAGTTTTGATAGAAAACCCTTCTAAATTAGTGGTTAATTAGGTTTAAAATCATACAACTTGTCTACTACCATTTAAGACGTATTTTGAGTTCCTTATTATGATTTTGCTTCCTAAGCTCTATAAAAACTCTCAAGAATCAGTTTCTCTCTATTTATTGCATTTCCCTAATAGCAATATGCCTATTCTATGAAAGAGTGTTAACTTAACAGTTCAACTAGTTTTTCATCAAAGACCACAATAGTATTTAACAAAAAATAGGCCAAATTGTGAGTATGTGAAGTATAAGAAGTTAGCACACCAACTTAGTTCAACTAATTCCAAAAATATTACTTTAGATTGATTGAAAATATAAGCAAAACATTAATTTAATTTAAAGAAGTATGATCTCAATGACTACCCATTCTCATAAGCATGAAGTGAGGATTTACAAAACCAAAATATAATACATAAAAATTAAAAAGAATAACACCCAAATCATGTATGTATATAATGATACTTGATTTTATGGAAGAAAGTTGTATGATTTTACTAAGTGGCTCCTTTGAACCATAATATAATACATATGCTATATTAGAAATATACTAATATAGATATTATATATTTATATAATATAAGTTATATAATTAATATAATATATTATTTATATATATTAATATTAGGGATGTCAAACTGGCTCGTCGTTCTCAAACAGCTTGTGTTCGGCTGGTTCGTTAAGAAACGAATACGAACAGTGACGCCATGAACAGTTTCAAACACGTGCTTATTTCAAACAAACTAAATTTCAAACGAACCGAACACGAACACAAGCTCTGTTCGTTCGTGTTCGGTTCGTTTACACCCCTAGCTAACATGCTGACATGACGACACTAACAATTGATGTCGGGGCGCCAATATCTTAGGTTGCAGGCTCTTTTTTCCTTCATCTGGCTCCTAGACACTATCCCCATAACACGACAACACTAACACTTATAATTTTCCCTTATCATCATGTTTATTCATCCAACTGCATTCCTGGCAGATAATATGAATAAATACCATATAAAAATATGAAATAGTATAAAAATACAATTAATTTAAGATATTCTTAGACACTTAATTTAGATGTTAGACATTTAAATAGATAAGAATCATGTGATATGTATATAAATCTAATCCAATTCAAAAACATAACATGATATTCTCTATACAAAAGAATAAAATGGGTTAAGCAAAATAAATAAACTAAATCAAACACCTAATAGTAAATAAATTAATCCAAATAAAATCTTAATATACCAAATTTAGAGAGATTTACATACTTGCCACATAAGGTTCATGTGTCGGGATCGGGTCTGGCCCAAAATTGATCATACACAAAACTATTTGACTCGAATTCGACTCAAATAATAAACATGTCAGAAAGCCTAACATGACCAATGTAACTCATTTGACTTAAGATACAATAGCTATTCTAGTCATGTTTAGACAATGCTGCATTGACGTGTCATTTTCGTGTCAGTTAGGTTAATTTCAGATATTTGGATAAATTGAATATGGCTAAACGAATTAAATGTTAAAGACTTTTGATTTTGATTCTACCCAAAAATTAATCGGGTCAATCTGAACTTAAATTTTTTGAGTTGAGTTTGGTTTGGATATATGTATTTCACTCAAAAAATAGTTTATGTTAGTATATTTTCATGTGAATTAAAAAAATTAGGTGATATATAATGAAATGATAAATTTATGTGGTAGATATTTAAATATATAGAAAATTTGTTGCATGTATAAAAATATATTTAAACTTTTATATTTATTTAAATAATATTTTTGAGTTATAATCACATAAATAAAAATTATTTTACTTTAGAAAAATTATTATTGATTAAATTTTAAATATGATATTAAAATTTAGACCTAATATAAATAAATATTTAAATTTGAATGTTTTATATTTACCCAAATTTAAATGGAGTTTTTACATTCTAATCGCCTAAAATATTAAATACAATATAAATATAATATTTTAAAGAGCAGACTCATGAAGGATCAAGAGGAGACAATTTTGTCTCTCAAATTTAAATTTTTACTTATATGGGAGAATAATTTGGTCTTTTGTCCTCTCTTTAAATATTAATTCAATCTTTCTGAAATATCAGTTTTGCACCTCTTGTAATATTAATTTTTTCTTCGTTGACCTAGCCTCTCTCACGTTGGGTCCATGAGACAAGCGCTTTTTCTGTCCGGACTCCTGGCGTAGCTCTACGTGTGAATCAAGTTATTTCTAAGTTATAAATAACCCGCGGTCTTTATTTTCGGGATATTTCTGAGTTATTTCGGTATTATTAAAAATAACCCAGAAATAACCTGAAAATAACTTAGACGTAGAGCTACGTCAGGAGTCCGCACAAAAAAAAAATTTTCTATAGGACAGTTTGCCCCCCTTAAAGAAGAGGTTGGTTACGCGCTTAATTTTAATAATTTTTTCCATTATAATTAATTTAGATATTAATATGTAATATTTAATATTTTGGCTGATTATTATGTCAAAACCCTAATTTAAATTAATTCTAAAGAAGAATGGAACCAAATTGAATCTCGCTGCAGCTTCCGATAACCCGCCAACAGTTCGATCAATTAAAGAAAGATTGCTTAGCCCAATCACTATCGGATGACGATCGCCCGCAAAACGGGAATCCAGATGAGTCCACCCCCAACTCCACCTACTCCACTCCACCTCATTCATCCTCCTCTGACCTTCGTACCGTTCCCATTGTCAACTCTGCGAGACTGGAGATCCATCTCTGCTAGTCCAAGATCTCGAAATCTGATTCTTGCCTGTGAGAAGATCCGGCAAGGAAAGCTTTTTCCTGTTTCCAGGTTAGGTTTTGGATCTTGTTGTTTAGTAAAGCGTGTAGTAGCTTTGGATTAGTGGAAAAGAGAGGGGGGAGATGACGATCGGTTCTGCTTCTCGAGGGAACGCCCCAAGCAGTGGGGGAGGTTGAGACGAGAGAAATGATGAGGAGATGGTAGTGGAAGAAAGTAATTGAGATGAGGTTTTGTTTTTGATATTGTTTTGTTCTGATTGCAAAGCATGGTTTTTCCTATTCCGTGTAATAGTAGATTTTGACTATTATGCTTGAGTTTAGTTTGGTATTTAGAAAGCTGGGGAATGTCGGGTATTTGCAGGGTGAAACTCTATTTCAATGCATAAAATTAATCCAATGCCTATTGCAAAGGATCGTACTATTTTCCTATGAGATATAATCATGAGCTTCATTGGCCTTGACCCAGCTTATTGGGGCCAACTTTGTGGATCTTCATCCCTTGTTAACTTATATTTAGTTCTATATAAAATGTTGAACCTATTTTGCATAAATAGGCAATCTACACATGTTCTTTTTAAACTTTTCGATGGTAATTTGACACACTCGTGTATTCTTATTCACCTGAGGTTGAGAGTCCTATGGACTCAAAACACTCTCGAAATTTATATTGTTTGCAATATCATCCAAAGTCTTCTAGAAAAATTAATGGTTAATGAGTTGCTTGAATAGTGAGTATGATCAGGCAAATCACCCAATCAAAAATCAAATCCTTATAATGATACTTGATTTTATGGAAATTAGAAAGTGTGCCCACTTTGCCTGCATTCAAAATTTGTGTTAATCCAAGAGTACTCAACAACTATTTGATTAGTAGTATTCATCCACTGTCGCCATCTCCATTTTTCTTGTGGTCAACTGGAGAACTCGTCTTAGAGGAGCTGCCTTCAAGAATATCGTCTGTCATACGAAAAATATTTGATTACCTAATGGTATTTTGAATCTTGCTCGTGTAGAATCGAGTTTGGTTTTTATTTATAAATAGGGGGTCATAGTGCAAACATAGGGCATCTACACTAAATTTTGGAAATAAAATTCTTTCCTTGATATCAAAACTGTCTTTAGATTTGTGCAGTATGTGCATTGATGCACCTTAATAACTGCCTTTGGCAATTAAGAATTTATTTAACTTATTTTTAAGCACAACTTGTTAAGATTTTTAACTCAAATTTATTAGGATAAGCATAAAATTAAAATTAGTTGATTTTAGGAATTAATCTATATGGATTCAATTTGCAAATTATATTTTTTTGTGAACATATATCCATCCTAAACTCATAAAAACAAGTATTTGAAAAGGCTTTTATTGTATTATTGATAGTATGGTGTGACTGAAGGGGAAATATTTTATAGAAGGATGATGGGCCTAAATTATCCCACTGACCTTCAGTATTCTCAATCAAACTAAAGAATTATTCAGGCCAATTTAATTCGTTGCAAAAGATGATAACTGAAACACACAAAAGAGAAAACTATATAACCAATAAAAAAACTAGTAGAAGCATTACAAGTTGTTTAATAGTGTTAGCTTATATTCAAAAATTGAAGGAAAAAAAATTATGCTAGCTTTTGTTCTTTCTCGATACATGTCACTCTAACTCTCCTCCTTATTGCCTTGGTAATTTTCATATTCTTGATTCCTCCTTTTGTGAAAAGAAAAACATATATAAATGCACAAGTATGTGGTTATTGTGATTTTGTGGCTAGAGTGTATAATAGTGTCTTCATAATGGGGATTCCAAATTGGAGGCCATGGGAGAGGGGAGTTGAGCCTGACTACGTGAGCAATTGCAAAATCTTGTTATGGTATGACTCATATAGGGACAGATGCTGGAAAGATGCTGGAACAAAGCGGAGCGGAGCGGAAGAATCTGTCCAAATCGGGAAGTTAAGTTATGTGGGTTGGGGTTATACGTTACATGAGTAATTTGAGAATTACATATTGTACTGTAGGGTTTACTCTAGAACTATAAATAAACCTGTTTGTAATTTTAGGTCTTTGAGAGAGCTGAATATTGTATTTTGTACTCTTTTCTAAATATTGAAAAGGAGGTCGCTGCTCTGCTCCCGAGGACGTAGGCATCTTTGCCGATCCTCATTAAATCTATGTGTTCTTCTGGATTTGTGTCGTTCTTGTTTTTCTTCGCCCTAATTTTCTCAACAAGTAGTATCAGAGCGAGGTTCGAGGGCAGGGAAGAAAATGTTTCGGTATAGCAGTAGAAGAAGAAGAGTTCGCAAGTTCGAGGTACAACAAGAGAGTTTGCTAGTTCGCGGCTTCGGTACAGCAGGAGAATTCGCAATTCGCAAATGGTAAGAAGTCGCGATTGGCGGCGGCAAGGTTCTTGCGGAAGGCGGCAATGTTCTTGCGGAAGGCGGCTGGGCGGAAGAGAGGAAAAGAATCTTTTCTTCTGTGCGTGGATCTGAAAAGGAAGGAAGTTTTGCAAAGGAATGTTCAGCGCATTCATGAAAGAAAGGTTCTCTTGGAGAAATTGGAAGGAATCTTCCCATTTGTTTCCTTTACTGGTTCGATCTGTTTCCTTTGGAGGCTGCGGAGAAGAAAAATGAAGGAAATCAATAAATTCTTTTCCTGTTGAAGAAAGGAAAATTTTTGAATTTTACTTAATTAAAGGAAAGTTATTTTTTAATTAAGCTGATTTAAAGAAAATGTAAAATTTTCTTTGTTGGATTGCGGATGTGAGATTTCTTTTGCTGGAGGCTTAAGAAAGTAAAGGATTTGAAATTCAGTTAATTAAATGAAATATTTAATTAAAAGAATATTTCAATCTTTTTTTTTTTGGAAAGATTTTGTTGCTTCTCTAGGAAACTTAATTAAGGGAAAATCATTTTTCTTGGAAATTTAATTAAGGTAAACTTATTTAAGGATCTTAATTAAGAGATTATTTAAAAGAATTTGTGGCAGAATCAAAGTACAATTTCTGGCTCAACAAGGAATGTTGCGGAGAAGAAAATTTGGAAGTATTTTCTGAATTTCCTTGGTTGGAGAAAGAAAATCTTGGCTACGACGCAGAAAAATATAAAATTTTGCAGATTGTTCGCAAGGCAGACGGGCTTGCGGGAACGAATAGATGCAAAGCAGTTTGGATAAAGGGCTACGACAGCTCGGCGGGAGCTCGGCGGGTTATGCTTCTGGGAGTTCGCGGTAGAGGTGGCGTCGCGACTTCGAGGCCCGACAATTCATGAACCTTCGCGGCATTAGACGAGGTGGAGTTAGCGAATAGGAGTTTGTGTGCAGTTACCACGAACAGGAGCGTTTGCAAACAGAGGAGTTTGGTGATGTTCGACCAACGGAGTTTGCAAGTTCGTCACATGAGGAGGGTGTTGGCGAGCGAGCAGACACGATTATTTGCGGAGGTATTTCGCAAAGGGTTTCGCTCACGGGACAACAGTTTAACCGAGGTGCTAGCGCGAACAGGAAGATTGCTTCAACCCATATTTGTGCATAAGAAACTCCATGATATTTTTCTCCTAAGGGGTTGGATATTCGCAAGGTGGAGATTTTCTCATAAGAGGCAGAATGTTTGCAAGGTGGAGATATTTTTCCTGAGGGGCTGGATATTCGCAAGGTGGAGATTTTCTCCTAAAGGGCAGGATATTCGCAAGGTGAAGATTTTTCTCCTAAGGGATTGAATATTCGCAAGGTGGAGATTTTTTCTTAAAGAGTAGAATATTCGCAAGGTGGAGATTTTTCTCCTAAGGGATTGGATATTCGCAAGGTGGGAGATTTTCTCCTAAAGGGCTGGATATTCGCCAAGGTGGATAATTGTTAGGTAGGTATGACTCATAATACCAGAATTTGGAGTCTATTGGAATGAAGTGACGTCTCTTGGAATTAAAGGGGTGTGTCTCTTGGAATTTAGTGGGTTGAGATCAGCCAGCGAAAGAAGAGTCATCCATTTTGTTTCGTGGAGAAGTATATTTTGTTTGAAAAGGTGTAACTCCCAGATATCTTTTCTCCTAAGGGGCTGAATATTCGCCAATGTGGAGATTTGTTATTGTATGGCTCATATACCATATCACCATATAGGGACAGACGCTGGAACGAAGCAGAGCGGAGCGGAAGAATCTGTAAGTTACGGGAAGTTACGTTATGTGGGTTGGGGCTATACGGTACATGGGTAATTTGAGAATTACATATTGTACTGTAGGGTTTACTCTAAGATTATAAATAAATCTGTTTGTAATCCTAGGTCTTTGAGATAGCTGAATATTATATTTTGTACTCTTTTTTGAATATTGAAAAGGAGGTCGCCGCTCTGCTCTGCTCCCAAGGATATCCCAAGGATATAGGCATCTTTGCCGAACCTTGTTAAATCTCTGTGTTCTTCTGTATTTGTGTCGTTCTTGTTTTTCTTCGCCCTAATTTTCTCAACAATTCTCTATTGCTCTTGAATCACTTAGTTTGTATTGACTTTGTTGTTGATTAGATGATACTAACACATGGGCAGTCATAATCAAGTATAATAAATGAGGTGTCACACTACCCTCTTTCATTTAGTAAGTTTTGTTATAAAGCTTTGTGGAGTGAAATAACCTCCTTTCGAGCTTTTGTTCAATTTCTCTAGTGTTTGGATATAGTTGGAGTAATGATTAGGAGCAGTTTGGGTAAAACTGAGCTAATAATGAGGATTAATTGAAAAGGCTTGAAAGGGCAAGGATAAAAAAAACACAACCTAAAATAAAGTGAACATGGCAGCAATACCACGTGGAGAGGAAGAGGAGGAAAAACCAGCTAATTGTCACGGGAAAGAGGTGGCGGTGAATGATGTTTGGATTAGAAAAATTGAAAAAAAGTGATAATGAAGAGAGATTAAGAGAGGCAAGCTATTGCAGTTACTTAACTCAAGAAAGAAGGGAGAATCAAGCTCACTATATTGAGCTAATAGCCAAGGAAGTAGCCGTGTAAGAGAGAATTCTCCTCATTCACAAGAGGAAAAGAGCAAACAAGGTGGAATTATTCATTAAGATTGCATAGTC